ATCCTGCTCATTCCTTGAGAAATCCTGGAAGGATCTGCCAGGATCCTATCAAGTTTTATTCAGAATCCTGTTTCAAATCCTGGCAATTCATATTTCCAGGATTTTCCAGGGTGAAACATAATCCTGTTCACGATTTCGTCAAGTTCCTGCTCCGATTTTTTTCTGTGCTAAAAATACAGGATCCTACCAGGATTTACTCAAGATTCTACGAATGATCCTCTCAAGATTGTGACAGAGGATTCTGTCAAGATTTTATCAGGTTTTCGTCAGGATCTAGCTCAAATCTTCGTGTCAGAATCCTGCCACGACTGATATTCACATCAGACAGGGATCTTGGCAAGAAAATAACAAGATTAGTCAGGGTACAAAGTCGACTAATGCTGCAGAGTTTGAACGAGGATCTTGCTCAGAACATTTCAAGAATATGCGTTTCTACGTTTTGCAAGATAACATCAATTTTAATCAGGATCTTGATAAGAAAACATCAGGATTTAGCAAAGATCTTTATAGAACACTGTTTAGTTTCTTCAGTCGTGTCTATTTTTTGGGACAGCCTCGAAGGATCTTTAAGAATCATAAATTTTATGAATTCTGTCAGGTTTGATTCAGGATTTCACCCAGAATTGATTCAAGTTCTTGCTCGGACCTTTTTTGGATCGATATTGCAGGATCCTATCAGGATTCACTTTCGATCCTATTCAAGAATTTTACAAAAATAATAAGAAGGATTTCACCAAGCTTTCGTTAGATTTGAATCAAGATCTATTCTGGATCATGATACAAAGATCCTGTCAAGAGTTGTTACATCAGAGAAGGATCTGACCGGGAATAAAAGAAAGTTAGTGAGAATCCTCAACTGAATAATCTTGCCAAGCTTCGATCAGGATCCTGCGATGAACTGTTCAAGAACAGACATTTCGAATCGTTAAAAAAAGTACAAGTGTGAGCAGGATCTTGATAGGAAAATACAAGAATCTAATTAGGATCTTTCCAGGTTTGTGTTTAGAGATTATTCAAAATTTTATTTCCAGGATGCTGTCAAGAACCTAGCAAGAATGCATGAAACATATTCTTCACGTTAGTAGCTAGGTTTAGATCAGAATCCGATCTATAGATCACAACAGAATTTCAATATCGATGTTGAGCACAATCTCCATAAAAATAAATAGAAGGATTTTTATAAGATGTTATTGGGTTTTTATTTGGAACACCATAAAATTCTGATAGCTGAATAATCTACTAGCATCTCTATTCTGATCCTGATTTGGTACTTTTAATAAAGAAATAGAACAAATCTTAAAAATCTCAGAAAAATATTTTCTAAGCCTCTTTAAACTTTATAGAAAAGTTGCTTTCAGATTCGAACTACAATTTTGAGTTCATTTTTATCTTATTAGAAAAAAAATTGAAAATCATTAAATTAGGATGTTAATTTGAATTTAGTTATTGTAAAATTTTTTCGTTAAATATATAATTTTAATCAGTAGCAAACCTTTTGATAAAAACTGCTTGTAGTTTTCATCGAATTCGAAAACGAATTCCAAATCTTTTTTTGAATAAATTGAAATAAAAAAATTTCGAAATATATTTTCTAAATCAAATTTAAATTTTCAAAAATGAGAAAATTTCTTCAACTAAAATAAATATTAAACTAATATTCCATTTTCAGAATTTTGTTGAAATAATTTCTATATACATAAAATTCAAAGAGAAGTTTACATTAAAGTCTCAAATGAAGATATTGAACGTTGAAGTGATATAGAATGACATGGCACATACAGCTAGGTAAGCTGATCGGTATGTAAACTGAAGGTCTAGAGATCAATACTCTATGTGTTCATATATTTTCTGTTCTCTTTAGCTAATCCTGCAAACATCCTGCCAAGAAACCTAATAACATTCTGGAAGAAATCTTGATAAATCTTGACAAGATCTAGTCAGGAAATATGGTAATATACTAGATGAAACCTACTAAGATTCTGAAATATGTAAACAGAATTTTTTCATTGGGAATCATCAAAATCCTAGCAAGATCCTTCTGAGATCTTCTTTCAATCCTGTACAAATCTTGAAGATTTCTTTGTTACACGTTTCTTTCAGGATTTCGAGTTTCCTGGCCAGATTCCTGATTTTAAATCCAGTGGTAAACTTTCCAGGATCTTGCTTAAATCCTGTTCTTAATCCTGCCAGGATGGGGTGTGGGTGTGGGTTAAAAGAAGAACTACATCCATACCTACCCACACCCTACACCCATACCCGCACCCACACCCTTTTTTTGAAGTAGATGAAGTCTTGCTTTTCCCCCTTGATCCACATTCACTCCACACCCACACCCACCCACCCTACTTATCTCACATATTCGACCAACAAGTCAATCATCCTATTAAATGCATGTAAAACGAAAGCGTTCAATACAATGATCCCCATGACTGACGATATAAAGATTATGATACTGATCGAAGGACAAACCCGTAGGATAGTATACCTGTTCCTTTGTGGGTCTAATGATCAAGCCATATGTGGCTCCTTTAGGCCAAGACATTACTCGATGATTATTTCGATCTGCAACATAGACAGTGCCACATCTATCGACGACGAGTCCTTCGGGACCTGACAATTCAGCCAGAGTCCACCCGTCACCTTGACCACCAGCAACAATAATTCCTTCCGTGGCAGTTTGATTCCATTTCATCACACGATGGTTCTTGCAGTCTGATACATAGACAGCTTGTTCATGATCGACAAAGAGGAATGTTGGAAAGTTCAATTGATTGAGACTATGGCCTCGACTATAACCGCCGGCTACGACAGTTCCACTGATGTCTCCCATTTGATATCGTCTTATTTCATGTTTATCAGTATCAGAAACATAAAGATGTCTTTGATGATCCATAGCTAATCCATAACATTTGATGTTGTCGAAAAGAATTTCTCCTTGAGTAGTCCCACTATGACGCGACCATCGTACGA